TAAGAGTAAAACGGTTGTCTATATTGGATCCATTTTCTTTGAAATTTTTTATTTTTTATTTCTTAAATGATTTATTTTGTTTTAATCGCAGTTAAAATACCCGAAAGGGTCAAAATCATTTTGTTGATGGGTCCATTAGATATCAAACCAAGCTTTCGAAAAGTTATTCAACCGAATTTATCGTACACTCAAAATATGAAGTACATGGTATTCCTTATTATTATTTTAATTGATACTTGTATTAAATAATTGAGACATATACATGAATAAATGATACACTTATCAATGAAATAGTAACTTGAAGCATTGAGTCATGTACTCCCATCCCAAGGTGCTAAAAAGTTTCTCTTATTTAGCAGGAATGACACTAAAATAAGGTTATTTGTCGTCACTGAGGGCTAGTGTTCCCTTCGTGACAGGCCAATAATATTAATAGTATGTTCATTTAGATGCAAGGACACGCACCCTGCGTTCCTGAACTGATGATTCAATATCATCACTGTGCTAAAATATTAGTTTAATTGATATTGTATGATAAATCTAATTAAAGGGAGCCCATGTTCTTTCATTTAATTAACTTTAATGGGAGTTATCTTAGAATACCAATTAGACTGTTGTTCTAATACTCACGATGATAGATATCATCATTCCTTCGAAAATTTAGTTTTGATTTAATTTTTTAATTAATGAGTTTTGCTCATAGTTCTATCGTGAAGTCCCAGAATTTTCTTTATTTTCTACATTTCTTGTTTTTTCTTGTGCTTGTTGTTGTTGATTTCTGCATGATAGAGAAAAAAAAAATCAAAAAATAAAAATAAAATAATAATAAAAGAAAAAAAAAAGGAAAAAGGAAAGAAAATCTGAATGTCCAATGGATGTGACTTTTTTTTTTTTTAATGCATCAGAAAATTAAATGAGGGTTCAAAGTGCTATATCTATGAAAGGATAGGGACCGAAAATGCAAATTTCCCGTTTAGTTAAAATGGAACTTCGCGTCCAGATGGAAGTAGAAGACTCCAGAAGGCCCGAGTCTTGGCATTTCTTCGTCCTTGTATATTCCGAGCAATAGAACCTCCTAGAAACCATCCATCATATAAATTCCCCCCTCTTTTCTACTTCTCCTCACTTCCAAATCTCTTTGCATTTATCAAAAAAATCCTTCAGCGCTCTTGTATAGCTCTCTCTAAAATCATCGTTACAATAGGTTTTCAATGGCGGATGTAAAGATGTCAGACGCAGAGACCTTCGCTTTCCAGGCAGAGATCAACCAGCTTCTCAGTTTGATCATCAATACATTTTACAGTAACAAGGAGATTTTCCTTCGGGAGTTGATTAGCAATGCATCCGATGCGTTGGACAAGATCAGGTTCGAGAGCTTGACTGATAAGAGTAAACTTGATGCGCAGCCGGAGTTGTTTATTAGGCTTGTGCCAGATAAGGTGAATAAGACATTGTCGATTATTGACAGTGGTATTGGCATGACCAAAGCAGGTACTGCATTATGATACTCCTTTTGCGGTTACTGAGTTTTTGGTGTTTTGTATTGATTGTTTGAATTTTGAGAAAGGTAGGATTTGGATTCTAATATGTTTGCACATGTATAATTAACAGTAGCTGCGTCTTGATAGTATATTTCACTCTTTGCGTCTTTATTCAAAAAGTTCTATAGATTTTCTTGTTGCTGTAAATGTTTTATATTTCTGGAAATTAATTAACTCTTGTTGGTGTTAATATCAATGATATACATACAAATTAGATTTTGATAATTAACAATTAAAGATTGCAAAACTAGGAAAAGAAAAACTTGATCAAAAATGACTTTATTAGATCAGCTTCAATAGATCTCATTTAGAAATGAGGTGCATTGTTACCTGTTTTTCAAAGTGCATGAAGGGATAATCATATTTTATCCACTTCAGTTTTGAAGACAATTTGAATTCGGATTTAATTGTTGGAATTTCGTAGATTTGGTGAACAATTTGGGAACAATTGCGAGGTCTGGCACCAAGGAATTTATGGAGGCATTGCAGGCAGGTGCTGATGTAAGCATGATTGGGCAATTTGGTGTGGGTTTCTACTCTGCTTATCTTGTTGCAGAGAAGGTGATTGTTACAACCAAGCACAATGATGATGAGCAATGCATCTGGGAATCTCAAGCTGGAGGCTCATTCACTGTTACACGGGATGTCGACGGAGAGCAACTTGGCAGGGGAACAAAGATCACCCTTTTCTTGAAGGAAGATCAGGTACATTTGCTTTCCTAATTATTCACATTTGTATTTGATTTACCCAAATGTATTGATAGTGGAGTGGATACGGGTTACAATCAGCAGAGGTTTGTGTTTATTTTATTTTATATTTTTTAAATAGAAATGTGTCTTTGATAAGCATTGCAAATGTAAATATAATACTGCGTATAAAACATTGAGTTGTTATGGATCTATGTTAACTTGAAGCGTAAACTCACCCAAATGATCTGGTGGAAGGTGAACTTGATAAATTCTATCAGGAATTTATATTTCAATTGACATGTTGAGAATGTGTGACAAAGAAGACAATGAACTATTATGTTTGTAGAAATTGAGGTTATTATAATGTTGGGATGATAATTTTGCCACCGATGACTTATGGTTTAATCTGGACCGTGTGCAGTTGGAATACCTGGAGGAGAGGAGAATCAAAGATCTCGTGAAGAAGCACTCAGAGTTCATTAGCTATCCCATTTATCTTTGGACTGAGAAGACAACTGAGAAGGAAGTTAGTGATGACGAGGATGATGAGCCAAAGAAAGAAGAGGAGGGTGATATCGAAGAGGTCGATGAAGACAAAGAGAAGAAGGGAAAGAAGAAGAAGATCAAGGAAGTTTCTCACGAGTGGCAACTGATCAACAAGCAAAAACCCATCTGGTTGCGTAAGCCAGAGGAGATAACAAAGGAGGAGTATGCCTCTTTCTACAAGAGCTTGACCAATGACTGGGAGGATCACCTTGCTGTGACCAATCTGTCAAGCACTTTTTGTTGAGGGTCAGCTTGAATTCAAGGCTGTCCTCTTCGTTCCAAAGAGGGCTCCATTCGATCTTTTTGACACCCACAAGAAGATGAACAACATCAAGCTCTATGTTAGGAGGGTCTTCATCCCTGAATACCTTGGATTTGTCAAGGGTGCAGTTGACTCTGATGATTTGCCCCTAAACATTTCCCGTGAGATGTTGCAGCAAAACAAGATTCTTAAGGTGATTAGGAAGAACATTGTGAAGAAGTGCATTGAGATGTTTAACGAGATTTCGGAGAACAAGGAGGATTATAATAAGTTCTATGAAGCTTTCTCCAAGAACTTGAAGTTGGGCATTCATGAGGATAGCCAAAACCGGGCTAAATTGGCCGACCTGCTTAGGTACCATTCAACCAAGAGTGGCGATGAATTGACTAGCCTGAAGGATTATGTAACCAGGATGAAGGAGGGGCAGAAGGACATCTACTACATTACTGGTGAGAGCAAGAAAGCTGTAGAGAACTCTCCCTTCTTGGAGCGGCTCAAAAAGAAGGGATACGAAGTACTCTACATGGTCGATGCTATTGATGAATATGCAGTTGGTCAGCTTAAAGAATATGATGGCAAGAAGCTGGTTTCTGCTACTAAGGAAGGATTGAAACTTGAGGATGAAACTGAGGAAGAAAAGAAGAAAAAAGAGGAGAAAAAGAAGTCATTTGAGAGCCTCTGCAAGGTTATCAAGGATATTCTTGGAGACAGAGTTGAGAAGGTAGTTATTTCCGATAGGATTGTAGACTCTCCGTGCTGCTTGGTTACTGGAGAGTATGGTTGGACTGCAAACATGGAGAGGATAATGAAGGCACAGGCGTTGAGGGACAGTAGCATGGGCTCTTACATGTCTAGCAAGAAGACAATGGAGATAAACCCTGACAATGGAATTATGGAGGAATTGAGGAAGAGGGCGGAGGCTGACAAGAATGACAAGTCGGTTAAGGATCTTGTGTTGCTGCTGTTTGAGACTGCCCTTTTAACTTCTGGGTTCAGTCTGGATGATCCAAACACATTTGCATCTAGAATACACAGAATGCTGAAGCTGGGATTAAGCATTGACGAGGATGAGGAAGCTGGTGAAGATGCTGACATGCCCGCACTTGAGGAAGATGGCAACGAAGAGAGCAAGATGGAGGAGGTGGACTAAAAGGCGAAATTAAAAGTTGAGTCTCCTGTCCGTCATTTGAGTATGTATCTCATGGAGTCATTCCATTTAAAGAGTCTTGTTTGCCTTCAGTTTCTGTGTGTCTGAAAGGTTTCTAGGCTGATGTGATTATCCATTTGTGTCGTAAAAAATTGGTGTGTGTCATCCAATGTGCGTTTTGACCAACTTGAAGTCATATGTTTTCTGAGTAATTTCAATTTTGGTTTTAGTATAATCTTTTAGAGTTCCTTCTTGTGTCTGCAATTGGTATTTATGAAATAGAATGGCAAACTTATGAATTGAGAACACCTTATATAGTTTCAACATCCACTATTTTGTTGTAGGCAGTTGACGTGTTTTGAAAAGTTCCTCTTCTTGTGTAATTTAGAAGCTATTAAGGAGAGGGAGAGAACAATGATCCAACTAATATGTCGGCCAGGCACTAATTGAGGACATTGCCTTTTGAGAGTGGCGGAGTCCTCGGATGGAAGGTCTGGTCTGATGGTTATTTTGATCTGAAGAGTAAAGTGATTTCAATCATGTTTTAGTTGGAACCGAGTTTTATTTTCTAGGCAACATGTTGATTTAAGTTGCCTTCGCATTAGTAACTTGGGAGATTACTATTCGAAGATTATTGTTCTGTGCTATGACCGAAATTTGCACAAATCATTCTGATGTGCTATGATTCATTTCATATTTATCTTATTTTGTTCTAATACCAAGAGCTTGTGCACACTACAAGCTGTTTTCGTTAAAAATATTAGGTTAATGCTAAAGGGTAAAAGTTACAAATAAGCTAAAATAGGATCATAAGTAAAACAAGAATTTTGTTCTAAATAAAATAAAGCCAGCCTGCCGTATGAGTGTACTCATCGTCGAAATCTAAACGACATAAACAAAATTGTAGACATCGGCTAAATATTACACAGAAAATTGAAGGGGACTCAGCTCAGATATTTTTGCGCAAATTTAGGACTCCAATATTCTATATTTTCCATAACTTGACCGTAAATTTGCAAAATACAATCAAACTTGAAGAATGGACACATACGGGCAGTATTAACTTGGTGGTGGTGCACCAAAGTCACCAGCTCCACGTCCAAAGCCAGGTCTTCTACCCTGTGAAATTAGAACAGCAAGACAGGTTAAGCACAACAAACTTGTCTTATTTAGTTCTGTCGTGTACAAATCTGGATTGACATATAAATGGACAAGATTATGCACATCCTGAGCTTTACAAAAAACATAAACATAAAAGGTGCCAATCAACAAAATAACAGAACTAAGAACAAAAAGTCTGCACCTGTCCTAATTTCTTCTCTTTTCTCTTCTCACATTACCCATTTCACTCATTCCCCAACAAAAATAAAATTCAGCAATTTATAAGTACACGAGGTGAATTCGAAAAAACCATAAGAGTAACTTACGGAAGCATAAAGAAATTTGCAATCAATAGGATTTACCTAATCCTCCCTCTTCTTGAGAGGAAGATTGAAATACCTTTTTCTTTCCACCAGGACCTGGAGATTAGATCTAATCGTAAGAAGAATGCTCAGTATAAATAACTCACTTCTTGGTCTTCAATACCCCTCAATCACTATTAACGCACCCGATCACTGCAATTTCATGTGTCTGCTTGTATCTCTTGACTAGAATGGGAGTAGGTTTGAAAAAAGGATCTTTAGAGTTTCTTGGGTTGGGATACGAGGGTCTATTAAGGCCTTCAATTTTTCTTCTTATTGGAATTATTTCATACAGACTCGGCAGAGAGGAGGAACAAGCACCCTTGGAGAACATGGTACAACAGAGAGTTGTATGCTGTATTTTGGAAGGATGAATTACTCTTAAAAAAAAGAAATCTATTGATTCTCTTCCAATAGTTGGAAGACCGGTGCAATGATTTACTTCACGAGTGATTTCTCGTGTTCAAGTCTAGGATGACCTACTGCTCTGCTTGGGTAGATTCAACGGAAGGTAAATCAGTCAAATTTTCTAAATTACGTTTGAATCTTAAGAGGAGAGATTATGTGTCGGCAATCTAATGCAAAAGAGAAAATAAGAAGCATTTCCAATCTTTTCTTTTGAAATACTAATGGCAGATGTCTTGAAAAAATAACTTTTGGTATAACTACACAAATGACCTTACATAAGATAGATGGCCCAACTCAAATATATAGTTAACAAAAATACCTTAAGGCATCTCCAATGCATGCCCTATTGCACCAAAATTTGGTGCAAACTTCCTCCAACCATTGCATCATTGCACCAAATTTGGGTATACACCATTTTTTGTACCAACTGGTGTAATGTCCATTTTGCCCCTACTTTTCATTTTTCAAAGATACTGCCATAAGATTCTTGATATGTCATGACCAATTACAGATCACATCTCAATGTCTTGATAAAGGGGAATTATAGTAACAGCCCCGACCTTAGGAGAAAAGAAGCTTATTGGCATTGAGATGGACGAAAGGAGTTCTCACTTTCAAATTCAAAAAAAAAAAAAGTTCTTTAGGGGATCTTTGCCAGGGGGACTCGGAGAGGGGGGTTTAGCACCGCATATCATCCCCTCTTCCCATAGTGAAAAGAAAAAGAAAAGATATAGTACGAGAGTAATGGTTGTGTTTTACCAACGTACATATGTGGGTGCATTGCTTGAGAGCAAGAGCAGTAAGCACATCATTTCATACCCAAGGGTTCAATAAATTTGTCTTCATTGATGATCCATTTGGCAGTTCTAAAACTATATTAGTTATTTTTCAGTGCACTTACAAATAAAAAGGTTTAAAATATGGTGATCACCCCAGGATTACCGGGTCACAAACTTGACCACCAGTCCCTGAGCTTGACCTCCCTCAAAACCACCAATCTGAGGTCGGGTCACTAAGGTCTAGCCTCTGTGTCGTCATGTCAGGTCTTTTTGACGACCTATGGGAATACAAATTTTACCCAACCTACAATTCTTACCTAGCTAGATTCTCTCTTCAACTCAAACAGTGGTTGAATACTTGGAATAAAACACTAACTCCCTATCATACAAGGATAAAGATCATACATGGCTAAGGCCTTATAGGACTCTATCAACAGCACCTATAAATACATAACTCGGGCTCATTCTTGAGATACGTTTTTCATTATCTCCAGTTTATGGCCTCACGCACTAAATTCCCTATTTGACTTAAGCATCGGAGGGGCGACGAGCACACACCTCGTTGTGTTTCAGGTATTCGAAGACCGTTCATGCTCATCCAAGCTCGAAGTTCGATCATCAAGTTCGAGATCTTTTAGGTACTATTTTTTGGTAGCATCATATGGCATTCACATTACAACTTTATGGTGGCTATACACATTAAACAGAGCCAACGTGTATAACCCAATCAGTAATGCCGATCATACAACTAGAAATGGATCATCAAAAATATCATCGATGTGTTCAATAAAATCCCACCTTTTTATATTAGTATAAGAGAAAAAATGTTTCATGGCTCGAAATATAATAATATCGGTGCCGAGGGTAATTACCCAGAAAGCAGGTTGGCAATCAACAAGGCTCTGAAGAAATCATCACCAACTTTAAATATCTAGAATTTGCTAGACTAAGCATGTAGAATATTCTAGAGACTCATTGGAAATAAAGACCATTACCATTCATGAAAAATCTAGAGAATAGAATTGTGAAGACAATGGTAGAATTCTCTAGAAAAATGTAGGTAGTAAACTCCACCGCCATATTTTGCCTATATATATGTGTGTTGGTTGAATGTATGTGTGTGTGTGATGAGAGAGTGTAGAAAAAAAGTATAGAGAAAGAGAGTGTAGTATGTGAGAGAGAGAAATACTGTGAGTGCTCCATTTCTAAATAAGTGAGGTTAGTGATCTCGGTGTGTATAAAAAATTGTGTAAAATTTTATCTTATTAATAAAAATTACTTTTTTTTGGTGTTTAAACTCGACAAAGTGGTATCAGAGCAAGGCAGTCGGGGAATGATTTTTCGAGCTTCTTGAGTTTGTGCACAAAAGAAGTTTGTGAAACTTTTGTAAAGCTTGCTTGATTATGAGAAGGTAAATCAAGTCACAATGGGCGACCTACAAGTGGTAGGCGGTGTAAAGAAGCTCAATAATCAGAATTACACCACATGACAAACTTGCATGGAGTCGTATCTTCAAGGACAAGACCTGTGGGAGTTAGTTGGCGGAAGTGACGTAACGCCGCCAAAGGAGCCTGGAGCTCTGAAAAAATGGAGAATCAAAGCGATTAGGCTTTGTTCATTTAAAGATAACAATTGTGGAAGAAATATTGGTACACATAAGAGACAAGAATGCACCAAAAGAAGCATAGGACACGTTGGCCTCACTATTTTCGAAGAAAAATGATCTCAGGTTGCAATTATTGGAGAACGAGCTGTTCTTGATTACTCAAGGGGAATTAACAGTAAGTCAATATTTTACTAAAGTTAAATATCTTTGTCGTGAAATTTCTAAGTTAGACGCTTCAAGTAAGATTTCGAAGTCTATGATGAGGAGAAAAATCATACATAGTCTGAGACCCAAATTTCGAAGTTTTATTGCTGCAATTCAAGGTTGGCCAGAACAACCTTTATCGGTCAATCTTGAGAATTTGTTGTCCGATCAAGAAGCGTTAACTATACAAATGTTAGGAGCATCGATAAAGAAAGAAGATGAAGAAACATTATTTAGCTACAAAAGAAGAGGCCAATTTCGTCAGCAAAATTATGAAGAATTAAAAGAAGGTAA